AAAACAGTGAAATAAAAAAAAAAAAACAGTGAAATAAAACTTATGTTAATGTATAGAATAAGTTATGTGGATGTGGATGGTTTTGGTTCTCACATGTAATGCTTGAGTCTTCAAATTATATAATAATTAAGGATAGGTTTTTATGGAACTATCACATCAAAAAGAAAAAGCTCATAGAAAATGTTCACTTGAAACTACTGTTCATTTTCAACTTTAACAAAAAAAAAATAAAAAATTTTTCTGACTTCACATTCTACTAGTATCTAAAGTCTTTTTTTTTTAGACTAATATCTAAAATCAGTCCATGGGGTTGCAAAGAGTCAGACACGACTGAGTGACTGAACTGAACTAAACTGAAAGTCTTTTCCAAATGTTTAAATAGTTTTTAATATGTCACTTTATCAAATGATAATAATTCAATTTAAATACAATGCATTTGTTTATTTGGGGAACCAAATACCTCATGTCTAAGAAATTTCTTTTCAGTGTCTTTTAAGGTACAATTAGTGAACAACTTTATTTCCAGTCATTTGTTTCTATAAGACAACAATGTCAGTGGACAACTTATTTAACATATCTGAAGTAGGTATCATATATGCCTATTTGTTATCATTTCAACTGTTAAGTACAATTTGTATTATTTCTTTCTTTTGTTTAGCAGAATGACAGGGTCAGAAGTCTGCAAGGGTTCAGAAATTAATTACTTGAGAGAAGAAAGAAAAAAAAATATTTTAATTAGACAAAAGAAAATCTTTAAATCATAAAATTTGAAAGCATCATTAACTTTCCCAATTCAATCTCATCTTTGCCCTATTGTGAATATTTCTAATGGGGAATAAGGACAGTATTTCTCTTTGTGGCTTATTATTCTTAAAATATTCTCTGTATTGAGCTAAAATCTTTTCCCTTCCTTGTCCCTTCATTCTTCCTTCTGAAAATATATAAAGTAAATCAACTCCTGTACAGTTTAACACATTGAAGACACAATTATTGGGTTTTGATTATTTTTAGTTTTTTAGGTTTTACTTTTTTTTTCCCCTAAGAAAGGCAACTTGAGTTTATTCAACCATTCCTCTGTTTCAGAGATATTCAATGTATGGACCAATACTAACCCATGGCTGTTCCTTACCCTTTGGGAACTGTAAGTTATAGATCCACATCAACATAAAGAACTGTGGCAGAATATAAATCAGCATACTGGGACTTCCCTCATGGTCCAGTGGTTAAGAATCTGCCTGCTAATACAGAGGACAAGAGTTCAATCCCTGGTCAGGGAACTAAGATCCTACATGTCACAGGACAACTAGTTGCAGCATATGCAATTAGTTGCAAAAAAAAAGAAATCAACATATTGCTATTGTCATTGAAAAATTCTATGAAAAACTAAAGCTAGCTGAATTTAAAGGCATGTTTACTGATATAGTTGATTTACATTGTGGCATAAACTTTTTCTTCTTGTCACAACCTGATGGGTAAACAGTTGAACCAACTAGTTTGATAGCACTTGTTCCATATGACATGATTTCCAGATCCATTCTCATCATTCTTCTTGAGATCAGCCTCCAGAATACAACCAACATTTTCAGAGAAACTCTGCTAAAAATATAGTGGAAAATGTTATATCCCTGTATCTGGACATTATTTGTCTTGGAACAACCTAATAGTTTTTAGTGAGTTTTTAATCAAGTACACCCAGCTGGTCAGAATTATATACAGAACCTCTTTCAAATTCTTATGGCTATTGATAGTCCACTAGTCCAAAGTAGCTACGTACTAGCTATTCTGTCCAATTTTGTGTCATTTGCTAATATGTATTATGCAACTTTTGCTGTATTAAAAAAAACAACCAAACACCCCCAAACTCATTAAATTTAAACAACCACCCTTTAAAATAAATTTCTCATTTGCATGGTTCAGCTGGTCAATTATGGTGACCTTAGCTCAAATACTCTGACCATGACTTGGCTTGTTCAAACATCTGCCTTCAGCTGGTGGTTGGCTAGATGACTGGACTAGGATGGCTTCCCTGAAACAATTCAGCTCTCTTCCACAGGATTTGGATCTGCCAGCAGGGAGGCTTGTATTTGTTCTCATGGCTGTGACAGGGTTCCAAGAGACAGAGGGAACACACAAGACCTCTATAAGAATCAGTCCCATCCCTGCCATAAAGTAGAGCAGAGAAGGGTGGAAAATGGACCTGGAGGAGGACAAAGATAAAATAACTATTGTGATGCCAATGCATTCTTCCAAGTTCTCACAAAATTTGAAAATGGCACTGAAAGATACTTTTCATGGAAGACCTTCTTTATAGATGCATTGATAAACTGTTTCAGAATGTATTATTTAACCAGTCATGACTACCATTGAGAGTTTTTATTCAACCCATGTTTTTCCATCATGTTTCACTGAATCTCATCATAAGGGTTCAGTGAAAAACTGTCAAACTTGCTGCTGCAGATAAGAAATCATCATAGTTTCCTGAACACAAATGATCATCACTGCATTATTTATGAGAGCAAAGTACTGAAAAGACTGCAGGAATGAATAACTTACTATGGTAATTTACATAATAAATTATTTCTGTGGTTTTTAAATTTTAAATAATTGATGAAATAAGAAAATGCTTACAGTTTAATTTTAATTCAAAGATAAACAATGAGGCACAATACAAACAAAATTATATATCTTTTTATAGGCTTTATACCTAATGAAGAAGCATTTCAAAATCCTAGAAACAAACACAATAAAAATGCACTTATTATCTTTGGATGGCAAGATTATAGTGATTTTTGTTTTCAGCTTAAGCTTTTAGATATTTTGGACATTTTCTGCAATGGACATATGTAACATCATCATCATCAAAAAAAAAAAAAAAGCATGCATTCAGTTGTTTTCCATTTTGTAATTTTCCTGAGAATTAAAATCAAGCTCACATTTCCTTCTCTTTGGAAAACTGTGTATTTGACCACTGCCAATTGATATTCATTGAGATACTGAATTGAATGGTCCTAATTGAAAGGGAGATCTGGATCTTTCCCAAAATCATAGTAGCTGGATTTTAATAACTACTTCACTGTCATTTTAATTTTAAAACTATTTCCTGCTGCCATAATCACTTATGGTTTCTTTTTCTATTGCCTGCCAAGAATATACAGGATTTTATGACTTTATTTGGAGCATTACTCAATATCTATGCTAGAACTGATAAAAAGGGAGAAGTTCTCTGGGACAGGATAGGAAAGCAAGAGAAAAAATCTCTCTTAAGCAATGATAACCATCTTGGTTGTATCGTTGGTGTGGCTGAGGAACCTTGTCAGCTAGCTGCATCTATTTTGGCACTGTCTTTTTAGCCTTTTAATTCTTACTATCACTAAAAATCATATGTCACAAGATGACATTTAAAGCATCTGGATATTCAGATGATAGAAGACAGCCTCTGACAGATTACCCTATTCTGGTTAAGGGATGTAGTGTGAAAATGAGTAAATCACATTCCAGACACAGTGTCATCCAGAGGCATTCTGATGGAATAAAGATGGACACAAATTCTCTGATTCTCCTCCCACTGGGAAGCCACATCTCTACCCCTCCTTTTCAGTCTAAGTGGATTCTGTCACTGGCTGACCAATAGAATATGACAGAAGCAACACTGTGCTAGTCTCCAGGTTCCATCCTCGAGCTCTGGGCGCCTTCTATATCCTGCCGCTTGGAACACGCGCTCCTGGAAGCCAGCTGCGGGGCTGGGAGAAGTCCGAGCTGCGTGGAGAGGCCACATCTATGAGCTGCAGTCGGCATCCCCAGACAAGCTCAACTGCATGCCTGTGAATGCACCTCGGACCACCAGCAATGTCACAGGTTGAGATGCCTCCAACTGCAGCCACTAACTGACCCCATTTATATGAAAGACCCTCAGGAAGATCCATCCAGCTGAGCTCAGTCAACTCACACAACTGTGGGAAATAAAAATAAGTTGTTGGTTTAAGACACTGAGTTTAGGAATGATTTGTTAACTCATAGCAAAAAAAAAAAAAAAAAAAAAGGGAGCACTAGCCATTGTTAGCTGGCACTGTTGCACCTGAAATAAAATTTGAAAAGAGTTACAAAAAATAGATGGTGACATCACATTTCTTTTTTTTTTTTTGGGGGGGGGAAGTCAAGTCATTTATTTGTCTTTTACATGAAAACAAAATTGGGGGAGGGAGAACAAGAGGGAAACTGGCCAGCTGCTCAGATTTTTCTGTAGTCGGAATGGGGTAGCCAGCCGTGAGACAGGAATTGGGTCCCCACAGCAACGTGGCAATGGCGACTGGACCTAAAGCCGGTTACTGAAGCACCGTTTTCTACTAAATCTTAAATCAAGCTAAGCAAGTTAAGGTTACACTGGAAAGCAACACTGTCTGCAGTATTTCTCTTAAGAGCACAGAAAGGAGTTGAAGAACTATCTTTCAAATTCAAATGGAGAAACACTAAGTAGAATGTACTGTTTCTTACCATTCCAAGTTATATACAGATGTGATAATCAAAGAAACCAAGAAAAAATCAAAGCAGGATAGTCTTTCATGTTTGGAAATGATAAGATACTACTTTGTGCACGGCACTTTACAGTTTACCACAACCCTGAGAAATATGAATAGTACCATCTTCACTTTTTGTATTTTTTATCCTCCTTCCCTCCTCACTTCCTTGTCTCTGCCTCCATCTTCCAAGTTGTTTTCACTCCACTACACTCACCCTCAACAGAAGCCTGTTTTATCTCCATAATCTCCCCATGATATTTATAGTACATGAGATACAAAAGGAGGCTGCTCAAGCTGGGTCTATTTGAAATCTGTAAGCAGTCTCTAAGGTGAAAGGGTAAACCCTAGCAGAATGTCACCCAGCGATACCCTCATGTGCTACCTTTCCATGACAACAAAAATACCAGATGTATAAATCCTTGTTATTCTCAAGGACAAAGTTTAAGTATTTTCCAGTGTTTTACAACTCTGTTTTGCTTCTAGGTATCCCAAAGTTGATCACATCTGATATGGTTAAGGAAGGTGCCGCTGTAATCGACGTTGGTATCAACTATATCCATGACCCAATCACAGGAAAGACAAAACTCGTTGGAGATGTGGACTTTGAAGGTAATAAACTGCATCTCTTTTGATGAGTGAAGAAAAACAGAGGTTCAACTTTGCATGTTTTGATAGTTGAAAGAGAGATTTTCTATTTGGGGCATTACTTTTTATAATTTTTTTTTAAGATTATTTATTTTGGCTGTGCTGGACCTTTGTTGCTTCACAGACTTTTCTCTAGTTGCAGTGAGCAGGGGCTACACTTCACTGTGTTGCACAGTCTTCTTATTGCAGTGGTTTCATTACATTAATCTTTCCTCTGATGGAAAAGAGTTTAATGACACTCACATATTTCCTTCCTTCTGCCTGACTCCTTTCCTTCCTACCTTCCTTCTTTCCTTCCTTCTGTCCTTCTTTTCCTCCTCTTCCTTCTTGGGAGAAAAATATAATAACATCATTAATATTTAGTTTTAAGATTAAATTCCTTGTAGTGCAGTTTTCTTAGTGAGCATTGTTTTGACTGTTGGGAGCCTATCTCTGTCCTTCATCATCCATGCTTTATACTCAGCCATTCATTCTCAGAGCCAGAAGGCATCTTGGGATGTGTTTGCTAGCCTTCACTATATTTCAGATCTAAATAGTTCCCTAGATAATTCAAGTCATTATCCCTCACTTGTGTTTTAAAGAGGATGAGAAAGAGGAGTTAGGTTAACATTACTATGGCTAATGAAGGAGATAAAGCAGCAAATGGGTAGAAACAAAAGAAATTCTAACCCAATGCCTTTGCTGTATAGATGAAGAAACTTAACCCTAAGATAGATATATTTTTAGATGCCTGACCCCTAATCCAATTTTACTTCCAGTATCTTTGTCAAATACTTACCTGCATTGGCCTTTTCAGTATAATCTAGGAATCTTAGCTGTCTAATAATACATGCATATAATAAAGTAGAGATATTTTCATATTAGAAATATTTTATATATTGGATTACTCCTTGGAAGGAAATATTTTATATATTGGATTACTCCTTGGAAGGAAAGTTATGACCAACCTAGATAACATATTTAAAAGCAGAGACATTACTTTGCCAACAAAGGTCTGTCTAGTCAAGGTTATGGTTTTTCCAGTAGTCATGTATGGATGTGAGAGTTGGACAGTGAAGAAACCTGAGTGCCGAAGAATTGATGCTTTTGAACTGTGGTGCTGGAGAACACTGTTGAGAGTCCCTTGGACTGCAAGAAGATCCAACCAGTACATCCTAAAGGAGATCAGTCCTGGGTGTTCATTGGAAGGACTGATGCTGAAGCTGAAACTCCAATACTTTGGCCACCTCATGTGAAGAGTTGACTCATTGGAAAAGACCCTAATGCTGGGAAGGATTGGGGGCAGGGACGACAGAGGATGAGATGGCTGGATGGCATCACTGACTCAATGGACATGGGTTTGGGTAGACTCTTGGAGTTGGTGATGGACAGGGAGGCCTGGCGTGCTGCGATTCATGGGGTCACAAAGAGTCGGACACAACTGAGCGACTGAACTGAACTGAACTGATATATTGGATTGGTCATTCTGGCCAAAAAAGCAGGGTTATGCAAGAACTTCCTTAAGTTAAAAGTGTGTCTTTACAGACAAATTGAAAGGAAAAATCATGCCCTTTTTAAAAATAATTCAAACTTCACATTTTCTGTTGGAATTTGGTCATTAGCTGGTGGTTTGCCCAAGTCCTATTGTGGTATGTAATACAAATGACTATGCAGAGACTCAGAAGTGTCCTTCTGAGTAAGGTGTTGGCCCCTTGAATGTGAGATTCCAGGGTGCATCAGGGACCAGATCCAAGTAGGGATGCTAAGCCGGGTGCTAAAAGAAAAGGGAAACCTGAAGACAAAAACTCTGGATACAGGATGATGAAGAAAGCAAAGTACAGATGAACTTTATCAACTGCTGCCCTCACAGGCTGTCATTCATGGAGCCCTGCAAACCTAGCAAGGTGACTCTCTAAGTGAACATGTGTGTCTGTGTGCATGTGTATGTCCATACTGACCTCTTTAGGAAATGACCTCTTTTCTTTATTTAATTTTTCATGTTCAATCACTAATGTCAGATATCAATAATATATTTGAATTTCTCAACTTGAAATTTCAGGTAAGGATAGATTTCATTTTAAAAGTTGACCTTATTTATTTATTTTTTTTTACAGTCATTCTGCTTCTGGGTTACATTATAGTTACTATGTGTTTATTGCAAAATCACCACAAACTTATGATGCATCCAGATGGCATTGACAGCACATGACAACCAGCTCAATGCAAGAAAGCAGGGTGTTAAACACAGCTCACAACCTTGACTGTGCTTGTGGGGCAAGCTTACCTAGCTGGCAGTTGGCAGTTATAAGACCCTTCTCCTATATGATATTTCATTCAATTCAGATTTTATGAAAAACATTTTTAAAAAATGAGCATTTCGGGGTGGATGCATACACTGTCACATATAGATATACAATCTCTTGGTAGTATCTATTAAATTACAGTTATGCGTATCTAACTATATAATGAAACAAAAAAGGACATGACCATGAGAGACTAAGATATAAGGAAGAGCACTGGGCTGAGAGACTGAAGAGGTGCTCTGAGACCTAGTATTGCAACCCATTAACTTAGCAACCTCTCTGGCCCTTGGACTGCAAGGAGTTCCAACCAGTCCATCCTAAAGGAGATCAGTCCTGGGTGTTCATTGGAAGGACTGATGCTGAAGCTGAAACTCCAATACTTTGGCCACCTGATGCGAAGAGTTGACTCATTGGAAAAGACCCTGATGCTGGGAGGGATTAGGGGCAGGAGGAGAAGGGGATGACAGAGGATGAGATGGCTGGATGGCATCACCAACTCGATGGACATGAGTTTGAGTAAATTCCGGGAGTTGGTGATGGACAAGGAAGGCCTGGCGTGCTGCAGTTCATGGGGTCGCAAAGAGTCGGACACGACTGAGCGACTGAACTGAACTGACCAGCAATGTTGTTATCAGTTGCAGCAGTGATGGCAGTCCTTCCAGCTCTAACACTTGGTGCATCCTGGACATTCAGCTGAGTGTTGCCATGAGACTGAGTAAAAGCACAGAAACTTTCAGAAAGTCAGGTTTTTCTGATCCTAACATAAAACACGCCTATGTGATTTGTAATATTGCTCTTGTCGCCCTGCTAGTTCATGGAGCCAGAGCCCTAAGACCTGGACTTGGTAAAGAAGGCCTTACCGGTGAGGCCATGACTCAGTCACCCAGAGGAGCACGCAAGTGATAGGTTTTGACATGCTGCTCTTCAGATTGTTCATCAGGACTTAACCTGAGGTGAGGGATGATCCCGCAGCTGAGAGGGAGGGACTTTCACCTGGGTTCTGCTGCAAAACTTATAGGTAGCAGTCAGCTGTAAATTGCCACAGGGAAATTGTGGCTGATTTGTGAGTATCGATGAAAGTTTCACTATAACTATAGCCAAGACAGATAAACCAGATACAGGTAAAATGCAGAGCTGAAGTAAATGGTCCTTGCAGAAATCTTGGCTCACTAATAAAGGAAACAGGATGACCTACTTCAAGTAGATTACTTCAGTGGGAATGATTTTTAAAGAATAATTTCATCCACAACCCTCTTTAGGTATTACTGGAAATATGTAAATAATTGCAGATTATTTTACAAATTCAATGATTTATAGAACCAGGTGCCATTTAGTCTATTTTCTTTCTAAGAAAATACATGTCTGTATGTATTCTGCTTCATTATTAGATGTTTTGACTTCATTTTTAAATCAGGCTTCTCTCTAAGAAGACTGATACTTTATGTCAAATACAACATGAAGGTTGCATCACACTTGCTATAGTTCTTGACAAAAGAGAACATAAAAACACCCTGAATATTTCCTTTTGACTTTGAGGTCAGATTTTTCTTTGGGTTTAGATGTATTTTCCTCTAAACTGCATCTTCCTTCACCCACTAGGGTTTCCTGCTCTTATTTCTGTGCTTTCATAGCCAGTGTTTGTGAAGTGCTTACAGGGTACTAGGTATTGTTCTCATCCTTTTACATATGAATAACCCTATAAGCATGTATTGTTTAAGTTTGATTCAGTTATTATGATAACCCTATAAGGTAGGTATTGTTATGCCAACACACTGGCACTAGCCATCTGCCTCCACAAGGATTAAATCATGAGCTGCTGCAGCTGCTGACCTTCAACATTCCCTGAAAGGAGTTCAGGGTGGAGATAGAAATGAGGCACTGTGTGATCTGGGAAAAACTGGCAGAACAGGTCTTCAGCTAGAGATTTTCAGAAGATTTTATGAGCCCAATTCTTGCATCTCCTCGTGTCTAGAAAAGCATTAAAACCCTTCATGGTGACATCTGCTCCTCGTGACTAGCAGTAATTTTTAGGAGACTAGCATCAACTTTCAGCAAAACATATGTGCCTGATTACATGTACTTCCCCTTCACCAAAATCACTGACCTTTCCCCAAACTCTGTGGAGCAGTTTCTCAGAGCTATCTGAAATAGTTCTTGGGCTACAGTCCTCATTTTGCCTTTAATAAAACTTGTTCCTTGTCTGGTTTTAACTGTTGCTTCTTACCCTGCAAACAGACTTCTTAGGAGATAGGTAAGATGGTCTGGTATTCCCATCTCTTGAAGAATTTTCCAGTTTGTTGTGATCCACATAGTTAGAGGTTTTAGCATAGTCACTGAAGCAGAAGTAGACGTTTTTCTGGAATTCTGCTGTTTTTTCTGTGGTCAGTGGATGTTGGCAATCTGACCTCTGGCTTCTCTGCTTTTTTAAAACCCAGCTTATACATCTGGAATTTCTCAGTTCATGTACTGCTGAAGCATAGCTTGAAGGATTTTGAGCATGTGAAGTGAGTGCAATTGTATGGCAGTTTGAACATTCTTTGGTATTGCCCTTCTTTGGGATTGGAATGAAACCTGACCTTTTCCAATTCTGTGGCCACTGCTGAGTTTTCCAAATTTGCTGACTGGCATATTGAGTGCAGCACTTTTGCAACATCATCTTTTAGGATTTGAAATAGCTCAGTT